TTCAGGTTACAGACTCCGCCAACCCAGAAATAGTTAAGAACTCGGGTTAAGAACTTTGCTTCAGGATGAGAACAGAAATCGAGCGGTGGCGGCGCGGCGGCAGCGGGAGGCTCCATTAGCTAAAGTGGTACCTCAGGTTAAGAACAGTTTCAGGTTAAGAACGGACCTCCAGAATGAATTCAGTTCTTAACCCGAGGTACCACTAGCTGCTACAAGGCAGAAGAAAGCTGTACAGCTTTGGAAGGCTTGTGGCCTTCGCTTATGATAAGTGTGGGTTCAGTATCTTGAGTCAAGAGATTACAAGGGTTTATTAAGCAGAAGTTAAAACAAGTGGTTTTCGCTGGAGCCCTCTCAGCCAGTCAAGCTCTCTAGCCTGCTTGCACCATTCTCCAGGGATCATCTCTAAACTCTCATTCCAATGTTTCCTGCAAGGAAATGTCTCTAAATCACTACAAGGGTGACACACATTTACAACTCACTTCTTCAAGATAGTATCCATGGTGTTCACTTGAGGCCTCCTATCCAGGCATAGACAGATCTCAGGCTCTGCACATGCTCCCAACGCACTCCAGCTGCTGGCTTGTGAAACCATGAATATATGATGTATTTATATTCCACATAAATACTGCATTTTGATGGATCTGCTCTCCCCAAGCCAGCATCAATCTAATTTGAAAATGTAAGCCCCCTCTCTCTGTGCATTCCACATTCTCTGTGCACTCAGAATTTTCAAGAAAAAGAAGGAAATACAGCCATTTTGTAAGTTTAGGGAGTGCTTTAAAAGAGTAAGGCCAACTTAGGATAGATATTTTTACAGAATGCTTGAAGTTTTCTCTTTATTTTGCACTTAAACTCTTACTTCTTGCTGCAAGCAAGCAAACATGCTTCTTTATTCTGAAGCTGAAAAGCAAAGCAAAGCCCGGAGGGTAGAATCTAACTCTAGTCCACAATGCAAAGTTCTAATATTTAATTCGTCAAGTGTTATGTTGCTACACAGATTGACTTTTCCCACGGTCACCGAAGTAATTATACGGGCTGCTGCGATAATGCAAAATCCCCTCTGCCAGCGAAAGTCTTCAGTGAGCAAACACTTGGGGTTTCTTCTAGATGAGACTTTTGCTGTGCACTCACGCTGCCTTATTTGCCAAATTTTTCAGAGGATCCTGCTCTTAATTTGGTCCTGCTCTTAAAGCAAATGGCCGTTCCTTAAATGGAGGCTGTCTTACTTAAAGGTAAAGGGACCCCTGACCATTAGGTCCAGTCGTGTCCAACTCTGGAGTTGCGGCACTCATTTCGCTTTACTGTCCGAGGGAGCTGGCGTACAGCTTCCAGGTCATGTGGCCAGCATGACTAAGCCGCTTCTGGCTAACCAGAGCAGTGCACGGAAACGCCGTTTACCTTCCCGCCGGAGCGGTACCTATTTATCAACTTGCACTTTGACATGCTTTCGAACTGCTAGGTTGGCAGGAGCAGGGACCGAGCAACGGGAGCTCACCCCGTTGCAGGGATTCAAACCGCCGACCTTCTGATCAGCAAGTCCTAGGCTCTGGTTTAACCCACAGTGCCACCCGTGTCCCTGGAGGCTGTCTTATCATGTCACAAATGAAAAAGACAATTTCCCCAGAAAAATCCTGTGTGGGAGGAGGAAGCACCCGTCACTACAGATCTGCTTATCAGCAGACAAGGTCTGCTGATAAGCTACCAATCTGTTTATCAGTATATTTACTCTAACTTGGGGTACAGCCCAAAGGAAGGCTCCTTATGCAAATAGTTGCATTGAAAGGATATGGCTTCATTGGAACTGTACTTTACCCATTACAGAAGTATAATTCCCAGTTCCTTTAACAAACTACAGTCCCCATAATTCTTTGGGGAAGCCACACGCTTCAACTCTATGGGGTGTGTGTACTCAGCCATGTCTTATGCAGAGTTCTCATCTTGATTGTAACCACAACTTGTGCTTCCAAAGCCAACCAGCAGAGGGACCCCTTACCTTACTACAATTTTTTAAATTTTATTTTACAGAGAACCTTTAAAGAAATATAAAAATGTAGGCCTATTGGCCCGGAAGAAAGCAGTATCTCCCCGCTTTAAACAGTCACGGCTTCCCTCAAAGCTTCCTGGGAACTGTAGTTTGTGAAGAGCGGTGAGAGTTGTCAAGAGACCCCGATTTCCCTTACATAGGGCTGCCATACGTCCGGAAATTCCCAGACAAGAGCCTGGGAAAATGGCATTCGGGCAGAATTTTTGCAAATCGACCAACAGCTTTTGTGTCCGGGTTTTCACA